CGAAATCCCCCCCCCCACACATACACATACATACACCCACCTACACGATTAACCATTACTGGGACGTTCAACAACACCCACACGTCACCGCTACATAACAACAAACACTCGGGTTTTGGATGAGCTTCGTGACCAACGACAGCGCAGGAGGTGAGCCAGAGGTCATGTGATCATGTGACTGCTGTACTAATGTTTGCTGCGTGGGCCTGCAAAACACAGGCCTCGCTTTGTCTCTCGCCAAAACACTGCTCTTACAGCAGTCCCCAGCAAGCACTGTAATTACACTCTCGGTAGGAAAAGCCTACATGAGTCAGAAACAGTCTGTGATTATCAAACGCACACAAATATGAATGCAGGTGTGTGTGTGTGTGTGTGTGTGTGTGTGTGTGTGATGCCGCCAAACACGATGGAAATCACACAAAGACAAACAGCTCAAACAGTCAGTCCTTGTGTCATTAACAAGTATTCATTCAGAATGGATGCGTAAGCAGGTTAGTTACTTCACTCACACGAGAGAAATAAAAGGGGAAAAAGCACGTTATGTAGGTTTGCTGTTACAGGAAAATAACCAATGAGGTGATGTGGAACGATGCAAAGCTGATTTACTCATAATTACTGTCATAGAACAGCGCAAAGATTTGTTCGTCCTGATTTACTACTTTTACAACTAGGGTTATTATTATTATCATTATTAATTTATTTACTTAAATGGCATCATCAGCTAGTTTTTAGCCATGGGATCGAATAGTTATGGAACAGACAACAACCGACAATCAGACAATAACCAGGCAAAACCATTTATAAATGAAGTGCGAGAAAAGTACTTGCACGTTTTGACAAGATGGCCGACGCTAATAGCGAATAGCGATGTAGGACGCTTGGAGTTATTTAACCTTTAAAGGTAGAAGTGATGACAGCGCCCCCTCTGGAATAAACTGTATTGACTTCGCTTCCGTGGCACAAAATAAATGAACAATTCATAAAAGAACGGATTGACTTATATTTCAGAACAGTTAAGATCTTCACAGTTACGTTTATGTAAGGCGGTGGTGTTTACGGTGAGCAAAAGTCCTGACAGGAAATTTGAAACACGACAAGCCACAGAGGCTGACGGGGAATGAGAAGTTTTGATATACACTACCGGTCAAAAGTTTAAACACACTCATTCTTTATTTTCACCCCCCCCCACACCCACATTTTATAATAATAATAATAATAATAATAATAATAATAATAATAATAAAGTCATCAGAACTCTGGAGTAACACAAATGGAACTATGGGAAATATGTTGTGATTAAAAAAAAATATTCCAGAAATGTATTCTTGGCGTTCTCTTGCCCGATATTCTTGAGGAATTTCCCTGAGATTATTTTGTAAACAGTATTACAGGCGTTCACACCGACGCCGGACTCTTATCGGCTGCTCTTCGGGAATATTTCCCTCCGAGTCGTCCGTTTGAAAACGATATACCTTTGTAAATAATATATTCGTTTTCTAATGAAAGAAATGAAAACGTCGGCACGATTATACTGTTGTCTCCGACACCGATTTCACACGTTTAATCACACGCCTCCAGATCAAAAGGTTTTTAACATCATGAGAAACATTTCAGTCGAGTGTCCACAAACTTTTGACCGGTAGTGTAGGTGCTGTAGTTTAGACTGTTGTGTGTACATAGTGTGTAACACGTTCACTGGTTTCATTTGGAACCGATACAAAGCTGGAGGTTTCGGTAAACAGGCATGAGTAAACTCAGCTAGTGGGCCAGGGGAGCTGTTTGTACAACCTGTGACCAGTGCTACACACACACACACACACACACACACACACACACACACACACACACACACACACACACACACGCACACGCACACACACTTGCAGTAATGTAGCTCAATCAGAGCCATGTTGGCTTCCACTTACATACCGCTTACCACCAATTCCCCAACTTATATATGCACAAAATATATGCACTCTTTTTGTGAAGAAAACGTACATACTTTTGAGTGTTTAGCAAAAGAGTACGCAACTACCGGGACACACGACCACGTCATGTAACGGAAGTGACGCATCACCGACTTCACACTCATCCGCCATGTTTGCAGGGTGAATACAGGGTGAATAGGGAGGATACGGCGAAGCAAACATCACAAAACTCCTCCTCCCTCGCACAAAGACTTGTGGGTAATATTAACTTAAAAAAAAAGTGTGTACGGATCCACACTTCGAATATCTACCGGAAGTACGAGACCCTCCGGGAACCTCTCTGGGGTACTCGTTTCAACATACTACGAGCTCATTATAACGCTGCTTCTTTTTCCTAGGGTGCCATTACTTTTGTCCTAATTGAATCGCTAGTCTTATTCATCTTTATTTTGATCTTCCACGTCATATATATATATATATATAAATAAATCACAGTAACCTAACCTCAGTGACTACAAGAATAGTTTTTTTTTGGTTTGTTTTTATTTAAATAGTTTTCCTTAAGAGGACCAGCCAAGGTCCCCAAAATGTCAAAACTGTCCGATGTTCCCAGCAGCTTCACAGTGCCATCCCAACCCCGCTAACTTTTCATGAGCCCTTCTGCCTTTACAAGTTGAGACAGGTAGAAGTCAGATCTATTCTCATCCGGTAACTTTACTGACGCCAAACAGCCCTGCGTCTCAATCGTCTCTGGTTTCAGTGCTAGCGTGCTATCCGTCACTGAGAAGCAGATAACTCTGGGCAGTGGAGATTTTAGCTCAGAGAAAAAGCCTGTGTGGGCTGTTCTGGAAAAGGTTTTGACACGGCGGTGAGCTTTCTTTTGCTGCGGACTGATAGGACTGTAAAAGCAGCTCGAGACGAAACAAATCAAACAAAGGCACATCATGGCCCCGCAGGTCTCATCTTATCTAAACAGCAGTCCCTCTCAAAACAAGAGCTCTTCCTGGGGCAGCGAGAGACAGGAACCGGACAATGACGTCCGTGTGATACGGCGAGATTAGGGACGGTGCAATGGTGGATCTCAGAACGCGTGACGGGTTTCAAACATCCTGCCCGTTGTTCAGAAATGTGCCAGCTTTAGCTGGGCTTCGCAAGTTGAGACAAATTTGAAACGTAAAAGGAAACGCAAACGAGTCTCTGCGGACATCGCCCGTAGTCACGCGAAAATCCTCCAGATGACGTAAAGGTGATTATGAAGAAAACCCTAGATTACCTAATACATAATATTTATATGAATCTGCAGACTGATTCATTTGATTTATTCATTCTTTCAGGAACCAATTAAACCTAGTCAGAGTTCTGGTGATGCTTGATGATGCTTTTCTTATTTAACAAAAGAAAGCTGTTGATTTGTCCTCTCCTGCCACGTCTACATTTAAATATAATCGACTTATACCACTGAAACACGTGACTTATGCCCCCTAATTCATTATCTCCATCACTAGTTTTTTTATCATCTCATTTTTATCGACAGACCAATTTTTCCACTTTGGCCTAGTACAGAATCTTGTTTTAGATCAGCTAGATGGAAATCACCATACATTCAGGCCGAAAAAAATGCACTCATAGTAGGATAAAAAAAAATAATAATAATTTAAAAAAAAAAAAAAAAAAAGTGTTTATCGTACATTTTCTCTCTTTATAGTTTTCACTTACATTAAAAGATATAAACACTTGTTCCCTCTCCGTTGATTTTCGTAAGTAAGGAGTCTCCAGTTTCAGCGCTTCGTAACGAGGTAAAGTTTCCCGCAACAGGAAAGTCTAAAGATGGAGGATATTGCGATATTCTGACATTCCACCAGAACTAAACACAAAATACTAACTCTGGCTTCTATAAAGCTGCCGAGCGACAGGAAATTGTTGTCAATTGTTGTAAACGATGTAATTACGAAGCAAAACCCACCGATTGAACACCACCAAGGCTCAACATGCACAAGTGGGCAATGTTTACGACAACTGTAAGTTCAGCTATTTATAACGAACAATAACAGGCGATGCTTCTGAACAGGGTTCATTCATATTATAATAGGGGCGGCTGTGGCTCAGGTGGTAGAGAGGGTTGTCCATTAATCGTAGGGTTGGCGGTTCGATTCCCGGCCTGGGTGACTCCACATGCCGAAGTGTCTTTGGGCAAAACACTGAACCCTAAGTTGCTCCTTATGGCAAGTTAGCGCCTTGCATAGCATCTCTGCCCCCATTGGTGAATGAGACACAGTGTCAAGTGCTTTGAATAAAAGCGCTATATAAGTTTTACCATTTACAACAGTATTGCACTGTAATCTATGCTAATGGGTCAATCCAATAGAATCACCAGTGCAGGTGGGTGAAACCTGTAATCTCAAGATCTAGACCTCCAGAATAGACCCTCCTGCTTTACAGGTCAAGCGAGTTTCTCACACACACACAAAATAGCCATGTGACAATTCACACTCCGAGTATATTCGTCCTTTCAGATCTTGGCGAGACAGCCGGGTAATCCAGACCACTTCTGTATTCAGATGTGAGCCATCTATGCACGACAAGCTTAAATGAGGACCCTCTTGTCTTTTTTAGATCCAGACACTGGCCCCTTTCATAAGACACCAGTAGCAGCAAGCATTCCAGCCTCTGTTATGAATTACTGAATACTGCAATCAGACAATGGCAGCCCAAATAAACAGGCATCGTTCCCACCACGCATTCCACCAATTTGGACCAGCCACAACATTACAAAACACTGTCTACTCACCGTCACCGGAGTCTGATGGCATTTCAGAAGAAGAAGAAGAAAAAGAAGCCTTTACTTGTCACATATACATTACAGCACGGTGAAATTATTTTCTTCGGATATCCCAGCTTGTTAGGAGGTTGGGGTTAGAGCGCAGGGTCAGCCATGTTATGGATCAGAGAGGGTTAAGAGCCTCGGTTAAAGTCCCAACAGTGGCAGCTTGGCGGTGCTGGAGCTTGACCCCCGATCAGCCCCAAAATGGTTCAAAAATGCCTTTTAACCCTGATAGCCTAAAATCTGGACCCTACCAGAAGTAGGGTTTGAACCTACAAGGACATTTGCCCACTGGATCTTAAGTCCAACGTCTTAAACACTCAGCCACCCTGGATCTCGTTACCCACCAAAGGAAGTCTTAGTACATATTAGGACACCGAACCTGCTAGTCGCGGAGACAACCAACATGTAGGGGTTAGCCGAATGTGCACGACACGCCGGGGATCGGGTCGTTTACACAGTTTCCCAATCCCGATCTTGGCGTAACCAGATGCTGCACATTTCAGGGGTTTTAAAGCTATAACGCACACAGCATAACCTCATAAATAGCTTAGCCACGAGCTGAGGAGTTCGAACTGACGGAGTATAATGGGGCAAAGGAGCAAGATTGGGAAACTACCTTTACGGTACGGTTTGTTGTTACACGATATCTTACCACGGTTTAGTAACACCCCCACGGTTTTCCAGACGTTCAGACATTCACGAAACGATATTATTTAATTTACCAGAGCTCTGATTTACATACAATTTTCACACTGCTGATCGATCGAGGTGAATATGTGGAAGTAATAACGTCAAATAAAACACAAGTTCATCCATTTAAACGGAAAATTGCGTCGTATATGTCTTCAGAGACGTTAGCGGACTACCTGAACTGGACCTGAGCGGTAAATGTAAACGTTAGAAAAGTTTCATTCATGTCCAAAGTTTGTGAAAATAATCTAATATATGTAATATACATTATGCAAAGAATCCAGGAAGTAACTGCAGTGTATAACTTTGGGAATAATAGTGGACGCTGTAAACAAACGTCAATCATCCGTGCGAGCAAAGTGTTTGGATGAAGGACCGCGCTTAATTATCGTTAGCGTCTCTATAGTAACCGCAAGCACGGGGCTGGCATGGTGGATGCTCCATGTAAACAGTTTATTAAATGCGTGTAGTTTTTGATGAGGAGCCGTTTATACAGTTTAAGGCTTATGGAAGGAGTCTCCAGTGTCAGAGGTTAAACCTGAACAGAGATTTTGTTATATTTGCCTTCTTATTCAGCAGAGGGTAAAGGGTGAGGGCTGCTGAGGAAACGTCTGATTATAGCTGCTACAGCGTAAGAGCCATCTTGTTTAGGCGAAGTAAGGAAGACGTGTTATTGTTGAATAAATAAGAAATTCTGAGGAGTAAAACACCTTGAGGCACGTCTTTAAAAGGCGATAACCGACTATAACAGCAGCCGTACTACATACAGCACTTAAGATCACGTTTTTCCACACGGGATCCCTGTGGAGAAAAAAAGAAAAGAAAAAAGAAAGAAAGAAACCATCACAGAAATTCTAATGGTTTCCAATACAAATACTATTCCAAACCACCACCTGTTAACCATTAAAACCATTACAATTCCCATTATAACCATTAAAATCAATACAATTCATATTATAACCATTACAATTCCCATTAAAACCATTACCAAATGTCAAAGGTGTTCTATTAGTCTTTAATGGTATCCACTAGACATAACGTACCACCAGTAGAAGGCAACAAGCTACCAGCTGAGACCCACAGGGACCATTAAAGTCAATAAAATTCCCATTATAACCATTAAAACCATTACCAAATGTCAAAGGTGTTCTATTAGTCTTTAATGGTATCCACTAGACATAACATACCACCTTAGAAGGCAACCAGCTACCAGCTGAGACCCACGGGGACCATTAATGCCATTACCATTCCCATTAGAACCATTAAAACCAATACAATAACAAAAAAAAAAAAAAAAAAAAAAAAAAAAAAAAAGCAAAAGGTGTCTTAATTTTTTATTATAACAAAAAAAAAACAAAACAAAACCAAACAAAAGGGAACAAGCTACTAGCTGAGACCCACGGGGACCATTAATGCCATTACCATTCCCATTAGAACCATTAAAACCAATACAATATCCCATTACAACCATTACCAAATGTCAAAAGTGCTCTATTAGTCTTTAATGGTATCCACTAGACATGACGTACCACCAGTAGAAGGCAACAAGCTACCAGATGAGACCCACGGGTACCATTAAAGCCAATACAAATCCCATTATAACCATTAAAACCATTACCAAATGTCAAAGGTGCTCTATTAGTCTTTAATGGTATCCACTAGACATAATGTACCACCAGTAGAAGGCAACAAGCTACCAGCTGAGACCCACGGGGACCATTAAAGCCATTACAATTCCCATTATAACCATTAAAACCAATACAATTCCCATTACAACCATTACCAAATGTCAAAGGTGTTCTATTAGTCTTTAATGGTATCCACTAGACATAACATACCACCTTAGAAGGCAACAAGCTACCAGCTGAGACCCACAGGGACCATTAAAGCCAATACAATTCCCATTACAACCATTAAACCATTACCAAATGTCAAAGGTGCTCTATCAGTCTTTAATGGTATCCACTAGACATAACGTACCACCAGTAGAAGGCAACAAGCTACCAGCTGAGACCCACGGGGACCATTATAACCATTAAAATCAATACAATTCCCATTATAACCTTTAAAACCATTACAATTTGACAAAATTGATATCCCCCAGCAGGGATATCAGACTTCTTTGATGTTTTGATGAACAGTTCCAATGTATGGAGAGAAAAAGAAAAGAAAAAGAAAAAAAGAGGCTGATCAAATGCTCTTCTACCTTCAAACCTTCTCACCTCACCCTGACATCTCTACAGCTCACAGGACGTTCGGAAACTTGTTTTTAGATTTCACAACAACCTAATCCAGAGCATGGAGGGGGGGGGGATTAGTCCTCCAGCTTAATCTGGAGCTCTCTCTCTCTCTCTCACTACACACACGCGAAGAGTTCCCACTGAAATGAATCGGATTAAGCACAGAGCGCTTTTTATAGCCCGGGATCAGATGTGAGCAGTGATGTTGTGTAAACACGACAGTCCGGGATGAGAGATTTCCAAACACGCGTCAGGGTCCTGCAGGAGACAGTTTATACTCACTTTGCTCTTGACTTCCACCGCGTCCGAGTGGCGCAAACTCTGCGCCTTATTATTAAAACTCCGATTCATTGTTTCTTCCTTTTTCTTTTTCTTTTCTGGACGCCTGGATGCTCTCACTGCGGTCCGCTTCTCACTCTGTAAGTGTGTAACTATGTAACTGTGTGGTGTCTATATCCTGGAAAGGAAAGAGTAATCCTGCGCTATTCCGAGCACGGCTCTCCAAACGCTCCAACAATCTTCAAAGGGGTTTTAAAAAAAAAAAAAAAAAAAAACCCCTAGACGTGGAAGGAGGGTAAGAAATCACCGCCTCTGCCGAGAGAGAGAGAGAGAGAGAGAGAGAACTTTTCAGAATGACATCATGGGTGTCAATCCCTCCCCAAAAAGCGGCCGAGCTGTGCAGCGGGTCTGTCTGCAGGGTAGAGAGGATCAAAATTCTCAACTACATACAAGATTCCTATCTACAGATTTAATCTGGGTGTGAGATTTTGAAAAGTGCTTATGACAGCCTGTACGAACGTGTAAAGCCGTGTCACACAGTAGGACCTCGGCTGTCGTTAGTGTCGGACTGTACGACGGTCCATCCATCTTCTATACCGCTTACTCCTTTACGGGGTCTATCCCAGGGAGCATCGGGGTGCCAGTCCATCGCAGGGCACAATCACGTACACATTCATACACTACGACACATTAGACACGCCGATCAGTCTACCATGCATGTCTTTGGACTGGGGGAGGAAACCGGAGTACCTGGAGGAAACCAGGTAACCACTAAGCTAACCACTAAGCCACCGTGCGCACCTCATGGGTCGAGAAGTGAAAAACGGATGCACACAAGCAGACTCGTACGGAGTAGGAGAAGCCACGCTACAGGACTGTGCTTCACATCTTCTGACACTGCCAGAGTTTAATCCGAGGAAAAATTGGATCGCGACGGCCGTTAACCGTTAAACTAGCGATCGGAGACAACAGCAGTCCGTACGGGATTTCGCCAAGTTGTTTCTGTGATCGTTGCCGACGGAAATTATTATTTTTTCCTTCTAAATTTGAGACGCAACTTGTGGAGGTTTTTTATTCGTTTGTTTGTTTGTTTGTTTGTTTGTTTTTTACGAGATAGTTTCGCAGTGATGTTTGTCGGTTAACGAGATCTTTTAGCCGTACACGCGAACCGAAGCTGAACGCGGGTTGCGATGATGTCACGTGACGCGTCTTGGCCCAAATCTGCAGAAACTCCTGCAGTAAAACCCGCAAGCTCCTCCCATTACGGCGGAGTTTGCTTGACTTTGCATTCTTTTCTGTGAAGGATTCAGCAACATCCACATTAACACGCGACTGTGCCGCGCGTTCTACTTTGGCAACCATTTGTGCATTGTTGTTCATGAAAATGTCATCGTAAATATATCTTTTGCTACAGAATTATGCACACTCACAGGGGAAAGGCAACTACAAAATACACATTTGAATGAGAATTTTCAAATTAACTTTTGAATTGGAATAAAGTCCAGAATCCGATCACATTGCAAAAGTTGTATGAGGAGTATAATTCTGACCCGGTTGGCCCTGCATACAATCCTGCACTGACGGCTGTATGACTGGACACACAGGAGAGGGAGTTTCCTCCAGACTGCTGCCATCTAGTGACTGAACCATTTCTCCTGTGCTGTGTTTCCAAATCATGCTTTTTTCACCTGTAGCACAAATCCGAGTTGAGATCAATAGTTGTTTTTTTATTTTATTTTTTATATCATTAACAATAATGATTGTTTAATGGTAACCATATTATTCTACATTCTACAAGTGGTTACGGAGAAGAAGAAGAAGAAGAAGAAGAAGCAGAAGAAGAAGAAGACATTATTAATCTCATATTTATTAGAGCACAGTGAAATTCTTTTCTTCGCATACCCCAGTTTGTCAAGAAGTTGGGGTCAGAGTGCAGGGTCAGACATGATACAGCGCCCCCTGGAGCAGAGAGGGCCCAACAGTGGCAGCTTGACAGTGCTGGGACTTGAACCCTCAAACTTTTAATAATACTATTACTAATTATTATGAAATATTAAAATCTAATGGTGCTTTGCATAAACAAAATTAATAATATATATATATATATATATATATTTTATAT